CTTGCAGAGAGTTTAGACCAGGACAACAGTGGAATTCTCACAACTATAAGCAATCATTCTTTCCATTGCTCCTGTATTTCTAAATGGACAAATTCTTCTTGTCCCATGAGTACCATATGCTGCTTTATAAAATGGATTTGGAAATTACTTGAAATTATGGAAATCAAATATACTTATGTACTTGTTTGTTTCCTTAAAATTGACCAACTTCTGTCATGTTAAGGATAGATTGGCAGATGTTTATAATACATAAGCAGGTATAACATGGCTGGTTATACGTTTTCATCCGCTTTTCTTCTGTCACACATGACACACTATTAAGCGTTCTTTTTAAGATGCAAAGATGATATGGTTTTCATCTGTATTCGAACTATATTCTACAACAAACCAATCGTTGTTCCCACTAAATTTGGTGTCGATTACTTTAATCTTTTCTTGTCATAGTATAACTGAAATTACCAATTACCTCGAAATATGTTCTTTGAAAGTAGGATTTTTTAAGTCTATTTTATTTATGCATTGAAGAGTTATTGCTGAGCTGATAAATGGTGGCATTTCTGCTACTATATGAACTGCTTCCTCTTTGGTTCCAGTACTTTGAGTCTTTGTTGCAAGAAGTTGAAGAGGAGACTGAAAGAGAATCTTCTGCAGTCGTGAAAAAATCTGAGTCAAAAGCCAAAATTGCTGAAATTGTAGGCAAAGCTAGAAAAGTGTATGGAAGAGAAGAAATTTTTTGATGATGTGAGTAAATTGGGATTTCCTTTAATAATTATTCATGTAGGGGGACTTTTTTACAAGCTTTTTTTGTCATTTACTACTAAAGTTTTAACAAATAGATACATATAATTTTAGTTAAGTTGTTTATTGGGGATAAAAAGTTTGCATTTTTCCTTGTCTCCACGTATATACTCTTTACATGTATCATCATGCGTTTGTAAACTCACATAATCACTTTTTAAGTTAGGAAATTTGACATCTGATTTCTCGGCATAAGTTGCCAGAAGGAGGATAATTAATTTGATAATTTCATATTAACGTGTGCTTGGGTGATGTTATATAGTTCACTGTGATGGAGACTGGAGAGTAACGTTTCTGGGGCGAGGTAAAATTTCATTCTTTACTGGAGAGAACTTTTTGAGTCCTTTTCAGTTCAAATACGACTTGCCCAGGGTAATGCTTCATGGGGACTTGAAGCTTGGTTGGGTTCATATTATAAATCTCCTGAGACTGGATTGAAAGAATTGTGTGGGTTCGGGTGTTTGACTTTCACGGGAGAGATCCATATATTTGTAGGCTTTATTTTTGAAATTTTATATCGGCAGGCAACCAAGTTTGTGATTGATGGGAAGAGAAGTGTGAAATTATGGGAGTCTTGGATATTCTTGGGGGTGGGGTGTTGAATTGGTATTGAGATGATCTTATTGTTGAATGTTGGGCCAAAATGACTTGAAATTTTGCTTCTCCTTTTACGTTCTAAATTCAAGTCTGCAAGTGATATCACACTGGTGGTGGA